TAAACCTACTTGTCAAGCTGAACAGTGAGCATACCCACCTGGGTTTAGCTCAGCATCTCCTGTGCAGCTTCCTATTTGTGCCTTCCTGGGGACATTTAGCACAGGAGGAAGGTCAATACACTGGGCATTTCTTAGTAACAATCCTTTTTTTAAATGAAGATATTTAATGCACTTTGGTTTTTCCGTAGTAAATGACAGGTACATTTTGAAAATAATTGTTTTTTTAAAAAGAAACCAACATGGAACAATTCAGCTTGCAGAAGTAGTTTTCTTCTTGACTTTGATTTCTCTCTGAAAAACACAGCAGAGTAAAAGTGTGGGTATTTGCCTTTTAAAGCTGACAAGAAGACACAGTTTTCAGTATGACAGCCCCGTAGGAAAGGAAATTCGCAGTGGCACGGTGGTGGCGGGGAAACTAACCTGGATGTAGAGCCGAGGCCGTACAAGCAAATGCAGGAGAAGCTGAGCAGGGCAGGGAGAGGAGATAAGACAGCCTGTGCTGTAGGTAGCGAGCACCCTCTTGCCTTGGCCATCAGGGTCATTCCTTGCCATTACAATGGCACCTATGAAAAGACTGAACATCTACATGTCTCCTTGGTTTACTTCATCTAAGCTTCAAAGCAGAAGAGTCCTCCTCCCATATAGGATTCCTTCTGGGGTTCTCAGGCTCGTTGCTAGAAATGAGTTATCATACCCCTCTGATCCTTCCTTTCCTCTATCTCACTACCTTCATGTACCACAGACAAAAAGAAAGGGGTGCTTACTTTAGCTCCATGATGTCCCTTCATGTCCCACCACAGAACAGGTTCAGTGCTGAGGACTGGCCAGAATAGAAGATGCCTTCACCTTGGACACGACTTCTCCAGCAAAACTCAGATCTTCGGTGCAGGTCTTTGCAGCTCCTTCAGCAACTGGGATGAGTTTGGCTGCTCCTCCAACAATGACTGAGGCTAAAATTCATCTTCAAACAAATGTTGAGAGTGCTTTTTAGCACTCTTTTTTTTTTTTCCTTAAAAGTTGCTCTGAGGATGATGTGTTGCTGCGCTTTCCAGAAGGTAGTCAAGCCCCTTCAGTAGTTTTTAGCGTT